ATACTTCACAAATATCTCAAGAATTAAAAGAAAAAGTGGAACATCTCAGGGGGAAATATATTATTTGAATCTTAGTTTGGGAACACGTTATGTACATATAACTTGAATGCTGCAGCTGGTAAAGCTAGAGATTTGGTTTAACATAAAGCTTCTGTAAGAAGATTTCATTTTGTGTTAATCTTAGTGACCCCTATGAAGATAGAAATATCTCATCCTGTTTTTAAACAGTGAAATGTATTAAATCAAAGTGATAGCCTTATCGCCAATAGCTTGCATTATACGAGCACATGGTAAATTACGTACAGTCTATGGTTACGACATGACGTACATGTAATTTCCGAATGACAAGAAGGTTTTGCTAAATGTTCTTTCTTAATTTAATAGCACATCAAGTAGTTTTAACTATCGGTCTCTTTTCCTTTAAAGTAAGGCGCTTTTCGTCTTCATTAAAACAGACTCACCCCTCCAATTGCTCGTTCAAATACCGTATTTGAATCAAATATAATTCCTTTTCTCTGTCGTCAGAGGCAGTTTTGTCTCCAGGAGTATCGGCAGTCCCCTTTTTTGGTGTTTTCTTGTTGTCATCTTGTTTGTCGGCGCCTTTCTTGTCTTTCTTTTTGGGCATTTCGTCTGAGAAAAGTGGCAAAAGTTTACTCCGAGAGCTAGAACAAAACTACGCTGTTGCTAGGCAATGTTGCGTTCAGGGACTTAAGGAGAGAAATGTTTTAATCTTACTTCTCTCAACTTAAAATTGCAACAAGATGGAAAAAAATAAAATGTTCTGGTCGGTATTTGTATATTTTTTTCAGTCAGTCAAATAAATGTTTTTGAGAACACGTCACGTGACAGTTTTGGGGTTTCATCTAAAATTCGCTCAATATTATGACGATATTTCCAAAAGCATTGAGAAATCTGACAGATTTAAAGGTATCACAGCTATGGCCAGACAAGATTTAAAACCATACATTAAAGTCTATGATTGAAACCACGTTTTATATTCGTGAATGGTTCATTACATTTATTTATATTCATACATTTTATTTGCTGTTAATAAATTAAAAAATTACAAAGGTAATAAATAGATAATAAAAAGTTTCAAAATTACTTCCTTTAAGAAACATTATCAGTCAATTAGTCAATCACTCAATCAAACAATCAGTCAAGCTTCATAGCACCTTTCATACAACAATCAAATTCAATTCAAAGGGATTTTCAGCACTTGTGTTTCATAGGCGGCAATTTAAACAGTAGTTTTAACCCCAGCTAGTTATTTCTTGGTTGAGTCTTGAATATAACTATGTAATGACGTTTTATCACATTATCAACTTCAGAATAATGTTCTTATTATAAGAAATTATTTTTCAAAAGGGTTTACTCAACTGTGAACTATTTTGAAATCAAATCATTTTCCAACCCTCTGATGATTTCAAACTCAGAAGACCCCTATGTGGTCAAAGCCAGTGTTGCATGAACAGCATGCCATGGTGCAGATATACTGTGCATGAAGAAATGTCACAATTTGTGTTTTTTTTGTTTCCATAATTTGTATTTTGCCAATTTAATATCTGCATGTTCTATCAAAAGAACCCCTACTCTTTGGGTGCTGACCTCGATAGTATACTGGGTGTCCAAGAGAGCAATCATCCTCATAGAAAGGTTAAATGTATTAAATCACAGACTACATTACTCAATTATAATCTCTAATTATGACCTTGAATGCAATTAAAGGCAACATTGCAATGCTGATTTAGACTGACTCAGTCTGCAGGACCAGGACCTCAGGCCAATGAAGTGTAGCAGTTATTTATCTTAAGCGATGTACCAGCACTGTGTAAAGATCAGCTTTATAATTGGTAACTTTTCATTGCCCATCTATTTGGCTGCAGGGATTTTAATTGTCTGCGCCTGTGTTTTTCACCTCACTCTACTCCCTGCCTATAAATCCACTTGACTTGATTGACCTGTGTGCAGGTTAATTCAGTTTCAGCTCAGTCAAGCCTTTAAATTAATAGGAGAGTATTAACTCACACATATCAGGGGTTATGAAAAATGAGCAACAGTAAATATATTTTAGAAGGATATTAAGACCTCATTACAAGCCAAGGGGAATATCATTGGCTACACTGAGCACTATATAGACACAATCCAATGAGGTAAGGAGGTACAGGGGTATTTAGGGGGACTAATTAGCATATTTTCATCTTTAACTAATTTGAAAAGTATCTATATGGTGAGACAGTTTAATTTACCTTAGTTATCTGTCATGCAATAAAGCTGTATAAAATCTTATGGGGGTTCTATTAGATAGATGCAACATGATTCAACTAAGATTATGAATCCTTGATAGACCTCCTGGGCATACTGTACTGGCACCATCACCACAACACCCAACACACTAAAGAAAAGAGGATCTGAGATCAAGTTAATTCATATATTAATGTAAATGTAACATCTGCAAATATCATATTAATTAATTGTAGGTATACCAATAATAATAAATATGTCTTATATTGTGCTTTTCTAGATACTCAGAGATGCTTTGACAAGGAAAAACAACCATTGATGTAGAAAAACAATGCACATATTTTTTTTAGATATTTCCTAATAGATTAAAACTGATGGTGGGCCAAGACACCAGCATTGACCTTTTTTCAAAGAGGGGCTTGTAGTTTGATCCAAAAGATGTCCTAATGGTGTCAAGGGAGATTGTAAGAACATCAGAGGCTGGACCTTTCTCCAGCAATGTAACTTATGTTTTTTCACTTGTATTGAACATAAACAGGCAACTAGCACCAATCTTTTGTTGCAGCACCTGGGAGATCCTTTTTGTTCTGTTCATGTTTTTTCTGATAAACACAATCAGAAAAACTGTTCCAAAGAAAATCAAGACAAAGTCGTGTTTTTTGTACTTGTTGGCTGTCCTTATTATGAAACAATAGAATAAAAGGCTCATTTAACTTACTTATTTTTACTTACTGTACCCTAAAACAACTAACCCCCTCATCCCCCCTGTAATGGTACGGTCTGCAGCTCCTCTGAAAAGCCCATTGGATGTCCTCACTTCCTCTTTGGTTGCTTGAAATCATAACCAGCAGGTGTATGTGTGGAGGTCATATACAAACATTTTGGTTTAATGAAGTCATATATAACCAATAAATTAATTTTGATGGACTGCATCTGTTCACCATCACCTCATGGTCGGTAAGTCTACCATAATCTTGAATGATCAGTAGTTTAGTGTTTCAAGGAGGTTTGGTCATCAGTCTAACTTGTTATGTTTTAATTTGAGTAGTTTGTTTTAGATTGTTTTTTCTTCTTACCCTCTGTGACCAACTCTGCAGGTAAATATGTAGGCCTAAATGTTTCTAATTATAGCTATGTTGTTGGTTAGGCCTATATAGGCCTACTTCAGTTTTTCAATTGAGAATCAACCCATAAGTACAATGACTGTATGATACTCTGGGGCCAGCAAGAGGCTGCAGATCAGGACAGAGACACCCTGCAGCTGCAGATCAGTCAGCTGAGGAAAGAGCTCCTAGCCCAGATCAAAGAACTCACTACTGAAAACATGACACTTGGTGAGACTGAAACTGGCAATATATTTTTGCATTTATTGCATCTCCAATAGCTTCAATAGGGGGTGAAATATAATTAGAATTATTTTGCACAATGAGAGAGAAATTGACACCTTTAACCCGACACATATTATCAAATTTAATAAATGTTTGTACATAGACAGTTTGTAATCTATTACTGAAAACCGTTCACAGACTGACAAGGATTGTTTGGTGTGCAAATGTGACAACAGTGTCATGTTTTCCACCTCACTAGATCTGTTACTTCAGCACATTATTAACTACAGGACATCTTCTCATATTTTCAACCCCTTCACTGCAGAAACAAAAGACGTTTGAATTAAATCTCAGTGAGATTCGTTTCACCATTTGGGGTTAACTCTGGCATCCTCTCTCTCCTCTGTCCTCTACTCAAAGCTGGCAGGCTGGATAGTCTGACTAAGTTTCAGAAGCAGAAGGAGCAGCTGATGTCCACCGTGGAGTCTATGGAGAAGCAGCTTACGAGCCAGGAGGAGGAACACAAAGCTGACATCCACAGCCTGGAGATGAAAGTGCTGCTAGAGAAGAGGAGGTTTTGATAGCAACATTACTACTAAAAGCATTACATCAGATTTAATCATTTGAAATCTATTAAACAGACTCTCCTTAATATGAAAAAAAAAAAATGTTGTCATAAAGGTGTGGAGCATATAGTCCACCTATATATCTATAACCAATAAGGTGGTCAAAATGATATTACTACCCGAAGGAACTCATCATGCTGCTCATTTTAACAGTATTTTTCAACAGTAATGTAATGTGATTAAACACTGGCAACCAATTATTCTGCAGACCACAGTCTACTCAGATGCGTGTGTTATAAACTATGCTGCATGAAAAACTACATGGTGATACAATTTGAAGATGCAGGTTGTACCAGAAAACATATGCAGCAATAAATGGGCATGACAGGCCGATGTCCGCAGATCCAGCTTTTTGTTCCTTTAACAGAGAGACAGGACAGTCGACAGAGCTGGAAATCAGGGAGAGAGAGAGAGAAGGGAAAGGAGCCACAGGCCGGACCCGAACCTGGTCCGCCGGCCCGGAAGCCCACAGCCTCCACACTTTAACTTTCCAATGAGAAATAGCTTTTTTTTTCTTTTTTTTTTGTAAATGTTAATAGAATACGTATGAATGAGAGACAGACTTGTAGTGAGGGGCCATCCACTGCCCCCCCACTGTCCTCCCAGCTCTCCCCCTCCCACCATAGACTCCCACACCACAGCATCAGCAAGGCGGGAGGGACTGGCACCAGTACAGACTCTAACCAGCTGAGCTTGCCCTGCTGGGAAAAACTCCAAAATAGTACCCAAAGGCAGACCACTAGGCAGGTCGCACAGTTAGGGATAGATTTATTTAACTTTTTGTTGTTGTTGCATTGCAGTCATGAACAAGGACAAGCAGAGCCAAGGGACTGGGTCCACCGAACCTCTTTCCCCATCCAAAGGCCAGAAACCTACCAGGATGCCCAAATGCTCCCGCTGTAGGAACCACGGATATGTGTCCCCTCTGAAGGGACACAAACGCTTCTGCAACTGGAGGGACTGCCAATGTCCTAAATGTAAACTGATAGCAGAAAGGCAGAGAGTCATGGCGGCCCAGGTAACCGTGAGGCGCAGAGTTCAACTCAAATTAACATTCACCTGTTAAGGTTTCTTAAATACATTGTATCTGCGATGTCAAAGGTGAAATAGAAACTGTAAACGTTATTGAATATATTTTTTATTCATGTTTGTTTCACATTTTGACAAGTTGGACATGTTTCAAATCTTTTCCCACTTGATTTTAATTCTCTATCTACACCAAGGTTAATTTGAACCTAGCTAACCTAGCTTATTGTAGAGCTCGGCTAGCTTACCCATCGTTTCCCTGTTTTTCCACCACCAAGTGTGTTTTTGTTGATAGTTATCTTTTTCATAAACACATCAAAGAAACATTCAGTAACAGTTTAACAGTCTGAGCAGACCATTACACTGTTAATAAATGTTTTTAATATGTTACTACACTTGTTGATAACAGCTGAAAGTTTACAAATTGACAGGTAAACAAGAGCAGCTACTTTCTTTTCAAAGATGTGTTGAACTGTGTTGAAATCTTTGTGATTTGCAGCATTAAGTAAAATTTGCGAGGTTTGTACACCTATTTCTGAAAGATACACTTACAATTAGGCCTATTTGTATTGATTCGGTTGGGCTACACTAATTGTAAGTTGTATAACTTTATAAACTGTTGAACTTTAAAGTATCTTAATAGAGAGAGAGAGAGAAACATTCATAGTTATGTATTTTATTAAATGTGTTATGATTGTTGATTTGTATTCTGTATATTTGACTAATCATTTGTTGTTCTTTTCTGTACTGCTTTGGCACTAGAGATTGCAGATCTGTCACGTCTATTAAGATCATTTGAATTGAGAGAGATTTAAGTGAAACAAGGATTTAACTATGGATTATAGTCACGTTCTCGTACTAATAAATAGTTCGGTCTAGAATATGTCCGAAAAATGTTCATCATAATCTTCAAGAACCACATTTTTCACATTTATTTTTTTCTAAAATTTGCTAAAAAGTCAGAAACCAAAATAATTTCAATTGGTGGGTTATTAAGAATAATTCAAATAGAAAATATCTTGTATTTAAGAGGCCTTTTTTTTGCCGCAGTTGTTCAATCATGGTACAGTTGACCTTGCTTTAACGTGAAGTAGGCATACAGCTTTGTATTTTAAGTAAGAGGAGAAACTTAATTTTATTTGGAGAAAAAATACAAGAAGTTAATGTAGCAGACTAGACAACAGTCTTATTGATCAATAGAAGTGTAATAATTAAATTATAATAATTTATTGTTTTTTTTGTAATATTCTTTGCAAAGTCAATAGACAAAGGGAAATATTTTATTCCCGTTTGTTCCCTCCAGGTTGCCCTGAGACGGCAGCAGGCTCAGGAGGAGGAGCTTGGGATTTGTAGTCCAGTAGCTCTGTCCGGCTCTGAGGTGATGGTGAAGAATGAAGCAGGACAGGACTGCTTGTTCTCTGTGGAGGCACGATCCCCAACTCCCAGCAGCACCTCCACTCTGGCTGTCACAGGTTCAGTATTACCAGCTGTGTCTCACTAAGCCATCCTCCCCCTTAACTACCCTGCATCACATTACCAATTGTAGCTAACAGCTGATTTGCAGTTGACTAGAAGTTTTAGTTCATTTAACAACAAAAAACAAAGTTTTATTTTCTAATATTTTGGCTCCCTGAATCCTATGGAACACATCGAAAAAGAAACCTAATTTAAAATGTTGCAGAGTATCATACAATGGTAGAGTTGCATATCTGAAATCATCAAAGACGTCTAGGATGCCTCAATAATGGAAGCATACATGGATAAAACAAATTAAGGATCAACAGGTATAGGTACGCATGTATTGAAGCAAAATCTGATCTAATTAAGGAATGCTTTAAGAAAAATTACCAAAAAATGTATTTAAGCATCTCAAATGTGACTTTGATTTTACTTGTGTGATTATAGATTACATGTAGGGCTAAAACAAGAACTGTAATGAAACCATTATAAGACATACAACAGCGTAGACAAGGCAAGGCAAGTTTATTTATATAGCACATTTCAACAACAAGGCAATTCAAAGTGCTCCACACAAGACATCAAAAGCATCATGACAGAGGAAAGAAAAGAACATTTAAAAATCACTGAAATTATTAAATCTGAACATATGTTCAAATAAAAATAATTCAAATGAAATTAATTGAAATCATACTGCTTTGATTTATGTTGTGAGCAAAACAATTTTGTGGGAAACGAGTGAAAATTAAAGCTGATATGGTGGCACCAACAAGGGCATGGTGTGGAGGCAGACAAAGATATCGTGTTCCCTGTCAGCCTGATAGCACATATTAAAAGTTGACCATGGTCAAGGTTGCTTACGTCTTTGCTTGTATTCTGCTTTGCACTCTTGTGAGATTGAACTTTGGGTCTTTGGCAAGGGGTGAAGAAAAAGGAGTCGAGCACTCTGTGACTCACTGATGACAAGGATCAGAACAGGGACAAGAAATGTCATTATCTTCAATGGCTTCACTGGTGCACATTGTCTTCATTGTAAAAGACCAAAAGATCAGGGTCTGCCTGAGAAGAATGTGGCCTTGTTGATAAGAAAAGAACAACAGATAATAAGTATGATTTGATAGTTGTTTTCATCCCACATTAAAACTGCATTCTGATTCTGTGTTGTCTTTGATCTTCTAATTTGACATCAAAAACACTTGTCACCTGTAGATGGTGCTGTTGATAGCAATTTGAGTTTACTGATAATGAATGCCTAGACAAATCTTGTTAAGTTAAAGTGATCTTCCTTTTAAATGATCAATCAAAAGAACTACTGCAGTTTCTGATCTGTATACATTTAGTAGAGCTCATTCTTTCTGTTCTTGGTTCATTTTTTTCTGCATTAGCAAACATTACATTTAAACATAAAGGTCTGGAGTACATCAATGCAGTCCTGAGATTGTTTTTCAGATTCAGTGTTAATCCATACATCTAGCCAAAAACATCAAACCATGTCCTCTGTACCAAACTTTGTTTTAATTTATCTGTGTTTATCTTATTTATCTTTCCCCCAGGGAGTCGCTCGGCTTCAACCCCCAGCCCATCAGCTGCTTCCCGAGCTCATACTGAGGGATCTTCAGACCTGCTGCTGGAAACCTCTTATTACAACTTCTATCAGCCTTCACGCTACCCCACCTACTACAGCAACCTCTACAACTACCAACAATACCAGGTGACCAACAATAACAACCCTGATTTTACCAGTAACAGTCAGTCTAATTTACCCCTTTTTGAGTGATCATTTTAGTTATTTATGTTGATCGTTACTGGTATTCCTGGGTTGCTTACTCGGCTTAACTTAATGGAGGACTTTGGTGTCACTATTTGAAACAGTAAGGCAATCACAGCAGAGTAAAGGTATGTGTGTACCAGTGTATTTAGTAAACCCACAATTCACAATCTTATTTATATAGTCCTGTGATCTAAAACTTTCCTGATATAATGTTTTTTATTTCAGTAAAATGTCTTGGCTTCAGCAGCATGAAGACAATCTTGGGGTATACATTTGTCTTCTTTCGATATGAGCAAACCGTACTCGTTTAAAAGGAAAAAAAGAAAAAGATTTAATGAAAGCAAATACAGTTTTTGTACTTTTTTGTATTTTTTGCCTTTCTTTTGTCAGTTAAGAAACTCCCATAATCATGAAAGAGTAAAATTTGATCATGACTGATCATAGTTGTAAGAGAGATCAATTTGACATGCAGGAGGTTATTGAATGTTGTAGGGTTTTTGTGTAACCATGTGATTTAAAAAATAAAAGAAACTGTGTTTTTCCAGCAAATGTGTTAGAGAAATGCCCAAAAAACCTCCAGGGGCATATATTTGGCTTTCTCTAAGCGTCCTTACAGACACAGGGATTCAAGTTCTCCGTCGCTGGATGATGGCTATCTGCCAATTTCACAATTGTAATGATATTTTCAGTCAGTGTATATCAGACATAACCTCACATGCTGTTTTTGCAAATTGCTGTTTTTACTGTCAGGTATTTGTCTATTTGCTCCCACTCTCAGTGTATAGTAGGCTTTCATTGTTGTAGCAAACATCAGTGTGCACTGCCCGTCATGTCCAGACTTGTCATTTTTTCGTCTTCAATGCTGCCTTTTTTTTTTTTGGACCAAAATGAAATACTGGAGGATGATAATCCCTAACATGCCGGAGTTTACCATGAGTCAAATTGTATTTCCTGCATCTAGAGCAAACACATGCAGAGTGCACCGCTACTAAACAATACGTCACAAAGGAACGCACATCAACACAACAGGTGATGTAACAACGCAACATAAATCCCGTATATACTTGAGTGTTTCACAACACCCTTCTTACATGTTATATTAGCTTAATAAGCTATAACTAGCTTAGAATGGGTGTTAGTTACTAAGTACATAACTTCTGTACAGTTTTAAAGTAGTCTCTAGTAGTTGTCTATTTGCTGTATTTTACTCTGACATCACTTCATCTCAAAGGCAAAACTACTTCTTACACCACTGAACTTCTAAAAAATCTTTAGTTTGGCTTCTAGTTACTTCTCAGATTCAGTTTAATATTTCAAAATATGATTGATCAACTTTTGGTCTAAATATCTTTATTATATGCTGTGGGCATTCACAGGGTATCCAGCAGTATGTAAATAGATAAATCAATAACATGTGTATTAGACATCAAAATGCAACAACAAAGTGACAAATCAATCCATCCGAAATGTAATTTTCAGTACAGTGCAAAACTTGTTAGAGGTACTACTTTTATGCTTGAGGAAAAGAACAAAGTAGGCTACTTATTCCATGTCCATGTTACTCATCTGTCACTTCTGTCAACTGTTCAATGTTCAATGTGACAATCACAAAAAGATGCTTTGAACACAGCTAAGGTTGCAAGTGCAATTATGTAAACAAAATAAAATAAATCAATTGTCACAATTGAAAAGCTGCCGCCAGGTTATATTTTTTGCTGAATAAAAAAAGTTATCAGCTATTAACTTTATTTTTCTCTCTCTAATAAATGACAAAAAAACTTGTTCCAGCAGCGATTAAATGAATTTGTCTTGACATGGGAAATAACTGCACTCTCAGAATGCAACTGTAGCAAAACATTGTAATGAAAAGTTTGTTTTATCGTTATGCTTAAATGTGATGTTGTAGAAAGCTGATGAACTTGAAGCATGTTAGAAGTTGATTTTCTTTATTGCTTCTAGTAGGGATTTATATATAACTTTTGTTTCTCTTTTCATAAGAGATGGATTAGAGTATTTTTTTTTTTTTTAATTAGCAGCTCTTATGCTTTTAAGTGGGACTCACTGGGGAGACGGTGTCTAGCATCCACGCACACACACGCACACACACGGTCTCACATTCACCAATCTGTATATTCACACTGATTTATGCTTAAAAGTATCTCTATTGTGTCTAATCAGATGAGCTTGTGCGTGAAGCAAATTAGATCTATAACTCTTCTGAGATCTCAGATGAGGTGGTTTGTTTTTCTATGAAGAGCATTTGTTCATCTCCACCTACCTCCCCCTCCTCCACGTTCTTCCAATAGCAACATCTAGTTTTGGGGTCACTGCCTCCACTAACCTGCCAGCGCACAGAAGAGCCTGAATTGCAAAGGTTAATGGTATTGTCTGTCGGCAGAGGAACACACCGCTATGCCTCAGCGCTCAAAGGAGAAAGTGAGCACATAAATGCTAATCAGTTAGCACTCTTTAGCATAATTTAGCCATCCTCCTTTGTGATTTATGATATTTTCAGTGAAGGTGTCAGGTTGAGAGGGCTACGTGCTACGGCTATTTAAATTCAGGGACCACTTGTTTTGTATTTGCATGAAGAGCTGATTGTTTGAAGATGAATATCACTCCCACAAATACCCAGTTGCACAATTTTTTTTCCTCCAAATTTACTGTCATAATCACAAAAGTGTCAGAATATGTCCGTACAAATAAGAGAAGCAGTTAATCTTAGTTTTTTATTGCCCATTATTACTGTAACCAAACAACTATCAACAATCCACTTGCTTTTCTCCTGTCTCCTTTACCTGTCCTATACCTCTACAATTTGATGGGCAACGCTTCAATTTCAGCATCCCAAACTGAAGTTATTATCCTTGGTTACACTATTTGGATTTTGTCTCCATATTTGATGTGAAGCATGTATCACTGCGGTCACATTTTTAGGCGATAAGGCCTTTTCTCATTCATTTTTATTGAATATGTTTCTGGAGGTGGCACTCTCTCTTTTTTTAATTTTTTTTTTAAAGATTTATTTTTGGGCTTCTCGTACCTTTAATTGAGAGACAGGACAGGGGATAGAGTCGGAAACCAGGGAGAGAGAGAGAGAGTCGGGAATGACATGCGGGAAAGGAGCCACAGGCCGCACTCGAACCTGGGCCGCCCACTTGGAAGACTACAGCCTCCATACACGGGTCGCGTGCACCAACCACTGCGCCACCAGCGCCCCTCTCTTCTCCTTTTTAACGACTGATTGAAGTGTATATTATATCTCTTTAAAAAGTTAATATTGAATCATTCTATGATTTAAATTGTAATTATCAACCACTACATTTTATTTCTTTGCACAATTGTTTGTTTGTGTAAAATACTGGAATAGTTGAGCCACAATTGAGTAGTAGCCAGTAGCTGTGATTTGCAGAACAGTTACCAGGATAAATGGTAATGCTTTGCCCTCAAACACAGACTCTGTGTGTTCTCTGCCTCTCCTTGGACTCTTTGTTTTGGTCAGTTCTGGTTAGCTACACCAAAAGCATGATAGACATCATTACACCATCATGAAAAAATGATTTATTGTTAAGCAATAATTGCAGAGCAATTAGCAAGGTGGTTTATTTTCCTCAGTCAACCTCGGTTTAATTCTTAAGAATTCAGATGTTATTTTCAACCACGTCAGTTCAGTAAGAAAATATTTCCCTGTAAATCATCGAACTGATATAACACGTTCTTACAATATAGTGATCTTGAGCTTGAGCCCCCCCCCCCCCCCCTCCTCTTAATCAAAACCCACAAGTCAACACTGTGGTCTTTTATCAGCATAAACTTATCTACCTCACCCTCTGCTCTCCTGTGCACTCAGTGGTGCTTGGCTATCATGCAGGTGGATGATGATAATACAATGGTTGTGTAGAGCTTCCAGACAGGTGATGGTGCCAGATAAGAAGACAGGCTCTCTCAGGGAGGTAAGGAAGCCCCCCCCCCCAGGAGAGAGCAAATTTAGTTTAGAGAAGGTACAGTACATGAGACGCATCTGGCACAAGTCACTCTGAAATCATATCTATCATGCTACTTAATTGAGTTTGTCTAGCTGATAATAATTGCCATCAATGTAAACGTGGTTACCTAGTAAAACCTAGTGATACAAATCCATTTAGAGGCAGAGTATATAGATACATGTTATTAGATCATGTTTGTTCTTTATTCTACGATGCTGCATTAACCCCCTCTTATAACTCAAGTACATAACACACTTTGCCACCAAGGATGTGTTTGGACAGCTGCACTACTGGTCCATGCAGCTTTTAATAAGGACAGAATTGTCTTTGTCCGAGCAATATATACTGAGAAATGTTTAGAATGATCTCATTGACAGAATAAGCAATTCACACAACCTTAATCTGCAATGACTGAAAGTGAACCTTTTGTTTGAGAATGGCACAACTTGCCTTTTGTAAGAAGCTTTCACAAAGGCAGTTTTGTTTGGCACTGTTTGTGTCCCGCAAACCGTAAGTTTATTCCCCTACAGTACTCCAATCCAATCTCTATTGTATTTTTCACAGCCTAATACAAGAGCTGAGTGTAGCTTAAATAACAGTTTATAAAGCTGTCGGAGAATTGATGGTGTGGACAATACGGGTGACATATTACAGGCTGACAGAAATCAAATTCCATAAAAATGAAATTGAAAACCCTCCGTGAGGCGGCCTTGCTGCTGAGTAGACAGCTCGTTTTAAAGTTTTCAGAGGACTGGACAAGACCAGCGCAGCATGTTGCAACCTATTTTATCTACAGACAGCTGCTCAGTTAATTAAAATACTACTAGTTCTCAGTCATATGTTATTTTGTCTCTCATGTTTTGTCCGTTCAGATAGGGGTTTTTACTGGAAGTGTTTCCAGTAAATATTTGAAGCTTGATTTGCGCAATCAAATAAGAATAGGTCCAGAGAGAACAACAGTGTTTACACTGCATTTGATTTAATGGAAATTTCAACTTTATACCATATAGACAATGAAAACAAAAAATGAAGTCATTCTATAAGTTAGCATGGGGTTTGGTTATAAAATGTTAAAGAACAGACTGTATTTAATCAGAAAAAACGTTTGACAATGCCATAGAGTCTGGATTGAGTTATGGATAAAAGTAGCTACAAGACTACGTTAAGTAACATATAAAGAAGTCACTTTAGGAAATTCTGAGTTGTACTGTTTTCCTGAACAAAATTTACAAAAAGTAGCCTGATAGTTAGAAAAGCTCACTGGAGGAAGCAAAGCCTTTTTAAAGCCTGAAAGGTTTCACTCCAGTCAGCAGCACAATGTGCTTTTGGTGGGCTCAAGTGCATACATGTTTATTTTTTTGAGCCCTCCCTTTGCCTGTCAATTAAGATTAGCTCCAGCTGTATCAGATGAAACAACAAAGTGAGGGAAACATTAATGCTTCAAAACTGAGATTAAGATAATAAATGTTCAGTTACCTACTGAGCCTACTTCAGACTAAAGTCTGATGCTTTTGTACTCTCATTTCTGTAGTGTTCAATGCAGTGTTAAACTTGTAACAGGGTATTTCTGTGTTATTACTACTCTTTTTGCCTTAATCCCTGACAATAAACAAAACCAAGATTAGCTGCTTTATTGTAGACCCAGACGTAAATTACACCAACATCGAATTGTAAAAATCTTGCAATATTACGGTCTTTTAGAGGGTGTAAAGAGTCTTGTGGTTCCCACTTTCTGGACCTGAGGTTTCTAGGAAGCTGATGATTTGGTCCTTCTCTGTGGATTCAAGTGTATGAAGACTTTTTTTTCTCACGTTTGTTAAATGAGCTTTTTTGTGTTTTTTTTTTAACAAAGCAGATGCCTCATGGTGATGGTCGCCTTTCATCCCACAATGTTTCCTCTCAGTACCGCATGCACTCCTACTACCCAGCAGCCACCTATCTGACCCAGGGCCTGGGCTCCACCAACTGTGTGCCACCCCTCTTCAGTCTGGAGGACAACAATAACAACAACAATTGCCCTGAGACCATGGCAGCTTGTGAGTCACACACACACATAAACCCTCATACTTCTCAGGCCCCATAAAGTTTAACCCAGATTTGATCAACGGTGTGGTTAAGTACATTTAGGGAGGAGTGCACTCAAGACAAGTGTAAACTTTAGAAGATGAAATTAGTCTAAAGAGAAGCTTTTATAACTTTTAATGTACTTTCTTTTTGACTTTCCCTCAAATACAGACCTGTGTTTACATGTGTCTGGCTGAACAACATAAATGTTTTCAATAGTGACAATTAACTTGATTGAGCCATAAAAAGGAAAGCATGAAAGTCTGAGTGCTGTTCTCTCCTTCCTGTTATCTTTTCTGCATAAAGGATGACAGAAAGTTCACTAAAAAGTTTATCTTTGCTTTTTTTTAAAGCTGTGAGAACCTGATACAACCTGTTATATACTTACTCAGAAAAGTGCTTACAAAGAAAATACATTCTCGGTGACATTTATTACTCAACACTCTTCCCACTCAAGTATAACAAGATCTGTTTTTAAACAACATTGGCATTTTATAAAGTCAGACTGTGAACTCTCTGCTATTGTCAAAGACAGTCCTCGGTTTGAAAATACAAGAGGGAAAAAATCACTTGGTTTGTTCCACTTTTCCTCACAAGGAGGAATCTATTCATGTCGAGCAGAAATGCTTGCATCCTGTCCCAAATGGAAAGCTGTGGCAGATGTGATCAGTTTAATTAGGTTAGAAAAACCGATCATTTTTCCCATCCCGATACTGGTAAAATATTTTCCTTTAAAAGTCTTATCACTTGTTCATCAACACATATTGTCTACATGATACACTGTCCCTGTGGGCCTATGTCAGGAAAAGTATGGGGGGGGAAAGCATCCATAAGTACACAGAAACAGCCAATATCATTCCAATATCAGGGGTTAGCCAATATCATTTTTGTTCCTTGAGAAACAAACAATAATTGTATAATTGAAGACAGTAAAGTTCTCACATTTCACCCTGTATTATTGATTAACAGTTTTAATGAAAGCAAAGTTGATGGTATATGTACAAGCCTAAGTGAGACAACAGTGCATCGGTGAGGAGTGGTAATAATGCTGAAATATATATGCATATTTGTAATTAACATACTATAGTTTTTTCAGTATTTATAGAAAAATATACAACCATTTACAGTTTACCTTACCTGATAAAACTACTATTAAATACTACTAAATGGTTACTTAATAATCCAAAGGTGATGATATCAGTCTGAACATAAATTAAAATTCTGGGGTTAAATAGAAAAATATGTAAAGTAGGATTAACGGTACAATTCTTTGATAGATGTCAGAGTAAAGTAACTGAACCCAAGCTGTTTTAGGGTATTCAAGCTACTTTAGTTAATTTTGTTATCACAGAAAACTATCAGACATCTGACAGAGCATCGCTGTTTGTTTTGGCCCTGGTTAAAGATGACATTGATCTAATCTCTGATGATGCAGCATTACATTATTGGCACCCAACAATCTCAGAAGGGAATCTCAGCTGGCCACTGCTAATGGTGGTTGCTTGGATTTTCTGCCAGTTGCCCGTGAATATGGGTAAATTGTGTTTATGACTTAACCTGTAAAGTATTTGTGGAGCTTTCAAAGCAATTCATGTAAGTTGTCGATGAGCCGGGGATAAGGGGACAATAAAGGGAAGAGAGAGAGAGGTCTTGCAGTGCTTAAGGAAAAATCATTTGTTTTTAACTGCAGTACTTTTCTCCTCATGTTTTGGTACATTTAAAAGCCCGTTCGAAATGCAGATTGTGTCCTTTCTAACCAACATTTTTCACTCAGAAATTGCAGATACATTTATAGTAGTCCTTTCTAGCTATGGTGTGATTTTTGTATGCTCATGTATTGGCTTTAGGTGCTTCAAGACATTTGCATGAAATGTGTCCAAATCTGAGAAAGAGAAACCTTTCTAGTGTTAAATGTTGCTGAAATATCAGTGTGTAAAACCCTAACCCTAACCCTAACCCGGCTCTTTCTATTGTTTACTCAAAGACAAGGAGCCAAATTCACTCTTACATTCTTTGACTTTTGGATTATTTGTTGTTACTTTTTGGCAGTTAAAACCATTTAAAAAATAATTTCCCACCCTAGTTTATCCCCTGTATGGTTTAGTGTGTGTTTCCTGAGCATCCCAGCATCATTTCTTCTACATCAACATCCTTCTGTTAGTGAAATACATGGCAGACTCCACCAGCATCACAACCTTAAAGACCCCCTTCTCTCCTTGTACCTGCATTAGTTTATGACTTTCACCTGTACATTTCCTGTGAGGGTCCCACGTCAGCCCTCCTGCCGTGAAAACTCCACGCTCCATTACAAGAGAACAACAGTCTCAGCCGGTGGTCCATCATTTTGTCAACATAACACACACTCAGCAGCAGAAAAAAAACAAACCGTAAAAGAATCTCAAGGTTTTATACTTTTATCCGACTTGGGGGGGAATCTCATTGAAACACCTTGACACAGGTTGTGGATTTTTATTTTGTAGTTTGCTTCAGGAGTGATTATCCCAGTTTCTGGGCTTCTGAAGTCTCTGAGAGGACTCATGCCTCTTTTATATATACTGTATATCTCAGAACTACTTATTTGACACCAACATTATTTTTAAAAAATGTATTTAATTTGCTCTCAGTATCTGCTATAAGACAGTGCCGAGTTAAATAGCTTGTTAGAGGTTGACTCAGCTCTCCTTGTTATCAAATAGTTAGTCTAAACATTTGCCCCCCTCTTGTCATTGACCAATACCAAATCCGGTGCGTGGGAGTGTGTCATATCTACACACTGAAGATGAGGCTGAAGATGAGCCCTGTTACTGCAGAGGAAGCTTTGTGTAAGAGCCTCAGTGTCTAAGATGGTGTGTGAAACATTTGGATGTCTGTCCTTACCCTTGTCTCCAAGACTGTGTGTGTGTGCGGAAGTCTTTCACTGTGTCCTTGATGTAGTTCCAAGGCTAATTCACATCTTATCAGCTGAGTATAAATCACTCTGCATGGGTATGAGCATGTTGTTCTTGTGATCATCAAATAGTGAACTTTTTATCCATTGTAGCGGCATAATTATTTCTGCAGCTCTTTTGCTTGTTGGTTTGGTACTATCAATGATTACTGTGTATCACATTGTGTTTAGCCGATTTCATCCAGAATGACATAGAGCTTATTTTTTTTTTAAGTCAGGCAACAGAACATTAACGTGTCATTTTTATCCGAAAATACAAAATAGTCTTTGCTTCTGCCTCCTAATTTGTGAACATCTGCTCACAGCTGTAATTAGATATAGATTACATTATTGACACCCCCCCAAGTACATAAATAAAATACAAATATATTGATAAAAAAACTTCCCAGCACCTCTTATGATGTCTTGAAATAACTAGTTTTGTCTCAATAACAGTCAGCTACAATTCATGTAAACATTAACATTACAGAAGCTTCACCTTGGTTTATTTTTGTCACACAGTTACAAAAAAGTGATTACCAGACAAATCTTTCTTTTTTTATGTTTTGCTATTATTTTTATACCTATTTTAAACTGTTGGAAGGTGTTACCTAGACATTTTTAAAACTTCTACTTCCTACTTTTTAATAAAGAACAACTTATAATTTCAAAATAGTTGGCCGATTTGAATGAAAGGTTGTAGTATAATTTCCAACATCAACAAGACAGCTTAAAATAATCATAAGCGACAGTGCAGTCCTTTGTCCTAGTTGATGATTGAATTTGAAATCACATTGCAACGATAACTTTTGAATTGAATAGTTTAAAATTGTTGTCCTTTGATCCATAATGTTGTATACCTCGTATCTTCCATGAGGAGGAAATAGCTGTGATCTTTGAGTCTACCTGCCCTCCCCTCCTACCTGGCTGCCGAGCAGCGCTCCGTCAGATTTATCTCCCTCCCAGGATAGGACTAATCAGTTGGCCAAATACAGAGATCCAAATAACCTTCAGGAGTGCCACGCTGTCCTTCCCCCCTCCCCTACTCACCTCCTCTAACTCCCCCCTCCCCTCCCCGCCCTCCCCCTCCACAGGCCCCGCTGTCTCCGCAAAATTGCCTTCTGGAGTTAGTGAGCGGGAACAGTTAAGATTTACAAACAATGATGAAGCTTGTCATGCGTCTTTCTCCATCCGTCACGGCGGGCCGGGTGGAGCTGTGGGTAGAGCCGTCCTGGTGTTCTTCATAAAAGCCAGCTCTCTGTGAAATACGCCCCCGGTTGGCCTGTTTACTGCCCCGCGCTCGTCAGCAGCTCCGCCGCTGTAAATCGCAGAGCGGGAGGTGACAGCGCAGTCCATCAAACTCCCACCCCACCTCGCTGCCCTCCCAACATCTCACCTCACACTGCCACCTCCCCTCCGCCTTCTCCTTCACATATACACACACTCACACTGTTTCTAAACTAAGATCTACCCCACGAGGCTCAGATGAGCTGCCCAAAAAGAGTTATGACTGTTTCAGTCTTATAGGAGACAGCTTCAATCCAAGTCTGTCTGAGTTTATGTTCTCTTTATTTTTTGTCCTTGTCTAGACTTTTCAAATTTCAGACCTGCTCAAAGTTTGCAAGCTGCTCGCACAGCAACTTTTCCTTTCACATACACAATACTTTTGTGTTTAAATAAGATTTATACAAAAGTCAGACCCCAAACATCGAGCGCCGCTGTGCTGGCTATACATTTGTCTGTTTTGTTATATTGGTGTCAGCGCAGAGCGTACAGTAATTTAAATGCAAATGAGATTGTTGAGGTATTGCAGATGTTAATCCTGCTAATCGATAGACCTGTGTGAGCCCATTAAGTTAGAAATCCATTACTATCTTTCTAGATGATATCTATTGATTTTCTTGCTTCAATCTATACTGTACTGTACACCCAAGTGAGTTACTGCTTATAAAGTCTGTGGTTTCATTTTCCACACCCACTCAGAAAAAAAGGATAAAAACAACAGAGAGATTGCCTTCAGTAAGTTTCTTTGTTTCGTGTGTAAAATGGGCTTTACCTGCTTTCAGATCAGATTACCTCACACACCCACACACTCACACACACACACGGGCAGTTAGGGAAGTCCCTTCAAACACACACAATCCATGTACTGTACTGACACACACATACGCACACACACAGACTCGTGGCCCCACTCATTCTGCAGTTGTCAGAGAGGCCTCTCACTCTTTTAGATTTATTCAACCTGAAACAAATCTGTACTTCAATCCAGTAGGTGACCTTATCAGAAGAAGTGCTGTTTCATGTCATGTAGCAGCAAGAGTTCATTTCCTTGGTCACTGATATGCTGAGAACATCACTCATTTCTAGACACAAGCTGCTGTGTTTTACTGAGAAAAGGCTGAGGCACAAAAAGGGCTATTGCTTTGGATTGTGTGGTATTCAACTTCATAGTCAAAAGTAATACTGTTCGTAGTTTAACCTTTGCCAAATAGAAGTTTTTCAGGCATCTATGTCATATATTTAATTATGAATGATTTCCATTTTTAGTCAGGACTGGCTTTACATTAATGCGTGAGTGCTGTTAAAACATGTGTTACATTTATTTGAGTTCTTCATAAAAATCTACTTTCCAACCACAGTGAGGCAGATTTTTACCCAAACCTGTGGTCCCCTGAATTGTTCACGAGGCTTTTAATGAGTATAGATAGTAGAATTAGAAAAAGTATGCAGATTAATTGGTCATCAATGGGTTATTTTGTAGATGACAACTTAAACAGACCACATGCCCTTACAAGATACAGTATGAGCATTTAATCAAAGGGCTTTTATTTTGTCTCTGTGCATCCATGTTTTAAGTTCCCTCTGGTATGGAACTTTATACAAATAATACAAGTCTGTAATTGACTTGACTTCCCTTTCTGGAATAAAAAAAAGATGGAATGAGACAATGATCAACCAAATCACTCATACTTGTAGAGTTTTCGTACTGCATTTCCCTTTTTTAAAACTGAATATGAGTAAACACCACATACAAAAAAGTTGCTGCCGTTTACAACTTTCTTGCTACCTTACTAACCCAAGATGATATCCTTACAAATGTTCAGATAAAATAACTTGTTTTAGTTGAGCTAATGGCTTCATTCAATCTGTGAGTAAGAGCCAACAGCAGAGAGAGAAATGGATCCTGCAGGGTCCCAGAAGACCCCTCAGGCCCTTGTTGTGTGTGAGGCTGATTGAGTGTCTCTCTTGCCTCTTGGTTACAGTGTAAAAGTCCTGTGTGGCCTGTCAGATTGTGTTCCCCACCCTGCTGTGCTGCTAAGTGCCCTGATAGCCTGCGGGGCTGTGGATGGGCTAAATACCGGTGTAATTGTCTGCTTGGAGCACAAGCACCGTTGTAATGTGTTGTACAACACCACCATTAACACAGGCCTGGGGCTGAGGGGACATTAAATGGCCTGGGCGGTGTAGTTTATGTCCTCTTCGCCTCACTCTCGATTTCCCTCCCTCACTTACACACACGCACACTCTCACACTGTCCAGCTTTAAGTGAAGGATGTGAGGTACTTCACTCTGTTTTCGGTCTCTCCCTTTTTTAAATGCAGTTTCTTCAGATAAAAGAAGTATAAGACAGTTAAATATAGATAAGAAGATCTTTGTTTGAAAAGTGTACATCTTTTTTCTGCTAGTTGAGAAACTATAATCCGAATTTATCGCGCAGACTTTACCCGGAGTTTATCCTGCTGGACGCGTAGTCTTTTATCCGCAGAAAGTCTGAGTGAGCTGATGTCTGAACGTGGCAGCATATACTCCGGAGGATTCACCTCGAGCTCATCTCGAGCCAATGGGACCCCAGTGACGTTTATGTACAGTGACTGCTGCACGGCATAAAGTGTCTGCACGCGATCACTACGATCATCCATGCACATCTCCAATTAAACGGCTGCATGATGTTTTCTGTTGGTCAGTATGTTGTTCTCCACTCTCTTGTGGATGTTGTCATTCCATTGGATTACACATAGCATTGATATAAAGACAAATATTCTCATTATAGCGTCGTGTAGCGGACTCTGTTGCTATGGCCGCTACTTCCACGTTGTTTTTTTACGTCACGTCTTACCTCAGGAAATCCCCCGCCCCCCCTCCCCTCTCACAGGGAAAGTCCCCCGCTGTGAGGAGCATATGTGAACGACTAGGTCGGAGAATCTCCGGAGCGTTTCTCCTGTAATTATCTAGATATTATCCGGAGTGCATATGTAAAAACGACTACACACATTGCATTAAAGCTAAACTAGGTTGTATCAACATTGTTACAATGCAGAATAAAAAAAAAAGACTTTCCTGTTCCTGCCCTGGTTTTTGACTCTAAGGCTTCACACTCGTCTTGATTGAATTAACTGAGGCT